GCTTCCACATAGTGGGGACTTGCTGTTCATCGAAGCACCTTTGGAAAAACGGTGACAGTGGCTTGTTGGCCACAGCCTTCAGTGCCTTCGGACGTATGTTGTCTGATCCCGGAGAACTATGCTCACGCAGTGAGAGTAACTTTCTTAGCACAATTGATGGGTTGAAAATCACATGTGTAAACAGTGGAGTCGGTGATGTGCATGACATTATGGGACAGGTAGAGGCGGCGATTTCGAAAATTGTGGAGCATGTTAGCCGCAGGGCATTAGCTGCTTCTTCGGCGCTTTGTACTCTACTGCCTGTCGTGAGAAATGGTGGGATTCCATGCCTCACTTTACGAAGATTATTGACATGCCTACATAGCAGTTTTTTGCTTGCCATAAATTTTTTGCTAAGCACTGTTGATAAGTTACTTTGTTCTCACGGACAAGTGCAGTGCAATGGTTGCGATGGGTCAGGAAATTGCCCCTTGTAGGCACGCCATGCTGCATCCCTTATCGCCAGGAATCTTCGAGTCCTGCTCCTTAGAATTGATGGCATTTTTGCGGGGCGAAAGGACTTGGTCTCTGATTCTCTGTTGATGATATCGCTGAATCTATTAACGAACTCTGCCAAACTTTGTCAAGGGCACTTTTGTTTGAGAATTCCCAATCAGCTGCGTCGGCGAGTTCTTTCAATACGTGGTAGCGTGTGATTGTATGAGTTAGTTCCGAGTGTTCAGATGGATACTCTGCATTACACACATAGTTGAACGTTGTTACTACATGGTCACTGAGTCCTAATGGACTATCCATCAATAACTTGTCAACCATGAGCACTTCATTCGTGATCGCAAGGTCCAACATGGACGGTTTGTTTGCTGTCCTGAATCTAGTGGGCGTGGTGACATGATTGTACAAGGGAAGGTTAGTGATCAGTTCATGCAAGTCTGCTTTGAACTGTTCACTGGGCGATGCCAAAACCTCCAGATTGTGTAGATTGGAGTCTCCGGAGATGAGAATGTGGCTGTACCTAGTGCGTGTTACTCTGCTCAGGCCACGGATCAAGCAGGAATCCATTTCGGAGTGGAGATTGGGGCGATAAGCAACAGCTACGAGACCGGCGTTGTTGTGTTTTAGTCGGAGACGGTACTAGGGTGAGTCGGTAACGTGTGTTTCCAGAGAATCGACTATTGTACATTGTAGATCGCTGCGGTAGTAGAGTAGGACCCCACCTCCACTGCTGGGGCGGTACCACCTCCTCTGCAATTTCAGTTGCTTACTGATTGCGTACCTGCTCTTCCCCTCCAATCCTTTAAGTGACAGATATGTCTACATTTAATGAACTGGCTATATTCACGAACCGCTTGGGAACGGAATGTTCCGCAAAAATACTTAGAACAACATTAAGCGCATGTTCAGCGAAATCCGATTTATTGCATCATCTGTGCTTTTCCTATAGTCAGAAGTTACTGAACGGGAACCTAGGTAAAGGGGAACTTTCGCGATGATGTACGGCCGTTGTGGACACGGCGCATTACTTATGGCGTCAGACGGAAGCGGTGTTCGTACAGGCAAGCTAAGGACTTGCCAAAGTCTGCTGATAGGAACCAACCCGATTTTACCCCGATGAAAGTATTACTGAGTTGCAAAATTATTTGACGCGGTTTTCTCCCCTCGAATCTGTCATCCACCTAATCAAGGTTCTTATGTCAGCAGCGGTGACTACTGAAAACCAATTCTTCCTCATTTTACTTTTGAGCACTTGGGGTAGCAAAACGCATTTTAAGTGAAAAAGGAATTTCCGGTGATTGTTTTTGTCCTGCGCTTAACAGCACGTTCTCAAGAGACTAATCTGTAACTGGACGCCAAAAAATCGGAACCCGGCTTCCACCTGATATCCCCGCCCCATCTTTGCATTGTCAGTAGTTTACCGTCCATACAAACCTACGTCGGAAATGGGTCAAAATCTAACCGACTTCATAATCACGCCGAGCAGTTTCTCATCGCGAAGCACTTCAAAGTTTACAATCTGGAAGTGTCAACATACACCGGTAGGCAGAGTGGAGATTACCTACAAGTTACTTTCCTGTTTCCCTCCATAAATCACGCCACCTTTCCATCAGCTTGCGAGTGAAGAACCCGTAATTATTTATTACTCGATCTTGTGATCTTCAACGCGAGACTCGTGGTCGACAGTCCAGTTGCAAACAGTACTTTAGGTCATAGTGACTGGGCGCTCTGATGTTTGACTAGAAGTGTCATTCAGATTATCCATGATAGAGACTGATAAAGTGTATACTGCTATCTGCTGTAACGCGCTATCTCTAAATATTAAGGGGAGTTTTGGACCACCCTAGTGGATTGTGTTCCAGAAATCGCCTGGGTACTATTCATAGCTCCTTGTGGTACCATCCTGGCGGAAGACACTTCCTCAGCCTTCACTTACTAGGAGTAGAACGTGACCATGAAGACTTTAAAGCAGCTGACATGGCTCGTTCACATGATATCTCCAGTAGTAAAATCTAGACAACACAGCTAGTTAAGCGCAACTTATATGTGCGATTGATCCTCGAGACTAAGATGATACGCCAACAGGCACTATCAGGACGATTATGAGCGAACCGCAATCTTCCTTACAGGCACGCCACTACCATTCGCAAGGTGCAGCGCTGAATCACACCACTAGTTTCGCTTGATAGGCATATACAATCAAACCTGTCTAAGGCGCTCACTCAAGGGATCGACAAAAAGTAGTGGCCTTGGACAGGTGGTCGTCTTGAGAAGGTTCATGTATAGGGACAATACGCATAGGAGAAACCTTGGGATGTTTCTAGATGTTCGCCATGGATAGTTGGCCGCCATAGACAGGTGGTCGCCATAACAGGTAGTAGGCAAGGCTGACTGGAAGCTTTTCCCCGCTTCTGATAGCCAGTTATCCAGTTTACCTCATATTCTCTCTGCAGCAGTATGCTGGAGAAACTGTTATCGCTACGTAACCAGATTTTCCCAAACGCTCTAACAGTAACAGCCAGAGTCCACTCTAACCGCTGATTAGGCTCAATTACTGTTACTTGGGTGGATTGAAATTCCTATGCTGTGGAAATGGACAGCCATCACCCCCATTCGTAATGGAATTAATTACGTTGAACCTGCGAACTGTTACTGCTTTCTTAATTCATGGAAGCAGTCCTCACGGATTTGATAATGAGTTTCCTAGCTGGCCAAAGAATGGTAACCACGGAACAGCAGGGTTTTCTACAACACCGACATTGTACCACTAAGTTCTAGACTGTTCACGACAGCTAAACCGAAACAATTAAAGGTGGGGTAGAAGTCAACACCGTCGACCCGTAATTCTCAGAATTGTCCGGTCACATGCATCGTCGTATCCTGCTCGGTAAACCCTAGAATTATGACACTGATGATTCGGTCCTGTCCTGAATATATACTTTTCTCTGTTAGCGTCACTTAGTGGGGTGAATCAAGGGTTAAATATCCAATGTGAATGAAGTCTAGTACGACTTACTGTAATGCTTGATGCTAAGAGTGCCACTTTTCTTATTTTTCATAAAGGAGGTAGTGATAGTTACATCTTTTCATTCCTTCATGAATGATATTAAGGCGCAGTTAGCGACCAGTGGACTTGCGTATCACCGGATTCTCCTACACACTCTTGACTAGGCTTCGAATTCGTCGGTTCAGAATGGCCAAGCATTTACAATGAATGCTCAAGAAACTGCTCAGGTAGGTCACCGACAAGCCCACATAAATAAGTGAGGAGCACATAACGTACAAACTATTATCAAGAAACGTGGCCTTGATTATCCCGATCATCCAACACAGTCGGAGACAGCTTCAAAATTATTACGGCGGCTACTCTAGTTTTAGCCCATCCATCTTCTTCATAATACACAACTCTTACACTTCTCGTCGAATGTGCTAGTAAACGTTGATAACCTTGTCTGAAGCGTTACTTTTAGGTACAAGGTAACGAAGAAAGTCAAAAGTTCAGCTAACCTCTCGCAACAGCAATAACTCAAATCACCCGGTATTTTCAATGAGTGCTACCGACAGCCGCTTATCAGATATGGAGTTATCCTAGCCACATGTGGTCATTTGCTAAAGCTCAACCGTAAAGGCAAACAACTGAAACAAACTGTGCCACACAACCGTCTAAGATGCGGACGAAGTTACCCTCCCACTGGAGTCGGCCAACTCTGGAATGCTATCCGAAGTTCTGTTGCCTCTGTTTTCACTTTGCTTGTCTTCGAAAAACTAGTGGGACGTTGTGTTCGGTTCCACGCGCATACTTGCATAAATTCTGGTGCATTGGTTGATCAATTTATGCCCCACCTTCACCGGGATCATATGCCGCGTGGATATGTGTAAAGCCATACAGTGGGTAAGCTCATTTTTCTCATAAAATGCTCGAATTATCAGGACCTCGTACTTCGTTTGTATGCTAACATTCAATTCCCATCCTCTTCTTGCGTCGATACATTTAATTTTTTAACATCCTAGCCTCATGTGTATGTTCGATTCATCGGTATGCGCTTTATTTTAATTACAACTGTACCTTTTGATTTTGCCGTTCCGTTTCTGCCCATCCTATGAGACCTGTCAAGCATTAACCTTTTTAGCCCGTATTCATTTATTATCTACTGTTCATTGTTCATTAGCGTCGCGTAGATATTCAAGCTTAACCAAGCAAAGTAGTCGATACGCTTACTCTAGTCTGTACCACCACCCACAATCCCCGACTGCCTACAACCTTTCCTCATTCCATACAACAAGTTCCCAATCCATACCACTACGGTGGTATACTAGCCTTCACACATTTGGCACACTCCGTAGCTAACGCCCTTCGACTGGCAGGCTAGACAGACATGTCCGCTCATGCCGTTACCGATCGATTTGTACAGTGTTCCCGGCCATGGGTGCCTACTACCACAAACGGCGAATCCGTGGTAACGACTGGCAACAGTCAGACTTGTAAACACTGACCAATCAGTAATCTGGTGTGCATTGGGTAAGGTGCCTACTTTATCAACCAGACTAAGCGCTTTTTCGTCCATCTGAAGTAAGCCATGGGTGAAGCAACCGCGAAGTGCGTAGTGAAGAATGTTGATATGTCCGAGGAGATGCAACAGGATGCTTTTGCTATATCAACCACGGCTTTGCAAGAATTCAATATTGAGAAAGATATCGCGGCCTATATCAAAAAGGAGGTAAGTCTTCGACTAACCACTTATATTCTGGGCTACAAGTTTGACAAAAAGTATGGTCCCACTTGGCACTGCATTGTTGGCCGAAACTATGGGAGTTATGTGACCCACGAAACGAAACATTTTATCTACTTTTACTCCGGGCAATTGGCGATTTTACTGTTCAGATCAGGTTGACAGTTCTTATCACTTACGGTGTACATCGCTCATGTTTCACCAACAGTTTATGTTGTATATGCCATGAGTTCAATGAGTGTACATAGGTAAATGCACATTGACAAAACATGTTAACTTCTTAAGTTGGTGCATTTGTGTTGGTAGATAGAGTTGCGGTAACTTGTCCTTCAATTTGTCCTTGTCTACTTCACAGACAGTGTACTGGTGTTAAAGTGCACAGATGCACCACATGCACAGAGGTGCGCTGGTCCACTCTAAACGTTCTCGGTCAGATCGTTTTGAATTCCCCATAACCTCACTTGAATTTGAAATTGGTTTAGTAGTTCCAACTTTGCATGCAGTGGGATCATCCCACACGTCAAAGGTAATCTCAGTGAAGCTTAGCGACTTTAATCAGGAATCGGTTAGATAATAGTCACACCTTTTCCCTATTACAAATTTTACGGAACAGGTATTTGGAATGTGAGGCGAGTACGCTTTTGGGTAACAACTGAACAGCAATTCAATAACTGATTGGTCAACGCTAGCTAGCGCCTTTGAGCTTTCACCTAAATAAACATAAGGCTGGGCCTGAACACATTTTGGGCAATAGACTTAAACCCACGTGAAACAACAAGTGATGTCACTGTTTAGGATATGCGTTACAACTGGTACCACCCTTTCTCCAAGTTGCTACCCAATTAAACGGTTGCTGAGGTTAAGGGTAACGCTCTAACATCAGCACGCTTATGCGACAAACTACATCAGTAGCAGAGATGTTTCAAAGCTGAATTTTAGTGGTCGTGCTATCAAAGCACACGTCTCTCGAAGCCTGAACAGAGCTGTTCTTTTCGTTTTAGATATCCCTTGTGTAGTTTGAAAATGCCATCCTCTGGATTTATCGCCTGGTCGAGTCGGATAATAGGTGTGGAGCATTGGTGTCGGTCACCATCCATTCAGCTTGAAAAAATTGTTTATTCTTAAGCAACCAGTACCAAGAATATCACACTTGAGCGTTCTGCACCAATTGCTGGTTTTCAAACCTTAGGCCACCACCAGTACCTCAATATTGCAACTAGATGAGGACCATGTATGGTACAAGTATCATACGACCAAAAGACTTGCCCAATCAGATCCAATGTATTCTGTTACTGCGCAGCCGATGTTGACTCCGCCGATGAGTTATTGAAGGATAGGTGCGCATCTTACGCAAGCAATCACTGCTTTTCATCCAATCGACTGATAGACCGGAAATTAGTATTAAAAAACGTCCGTTGAATTGAAATTGCTCCCAGGGTACAGTCGATTTCTTGACTTCTCAATAAGCATGGCTAGAAGAAAACCTGTGGTTTGACACAAACGTCAGATACAAGTGTTTGGAGGTGTGCAAACCCCATTTCACCCGAGATTTTCTCCAATTTACTTCCCGCTCCCAGTAGGGTGATGGCCATCATTCGGCCTGACGGTTGAGTAAGCATGTGGTATGCATCAACGTAGCGGCCATTGAAATCGTTCTGGATTCTGAATGCAACTCAGCCACAGTCAAAGAAATTTTCCTTTAGGTAGTTCACTCCGTCTGCCGTCGTTCACTCATGCAGCCATTTCAGTTCTGAGTCTCAGGCCAAGCCAAGTCGAGAATTTGCTTCATGAAGCAGTTGCTCAATGATTTATAAGGGGTTAAAAACCAAATGCTTCACAAGTTCTATAGGATGGTTAGGGTAGAATTTACAAGATAAAAACAGTGTCAACAAGATAAGGCGGAATACACCAGGGTCCTTCATTAAAGATTTCCTTTGAACAACTTTCCGTGCACCAAGAATAATGCTACTTGGCACAGATATTAGTCCTTATTCATCAAGGTAACACCCTGATGTACACATTTCTCCCATCGTCCTACGTTGTTGAGTAGACCACGCTTGCGGAAGTCACAAGATTTCGCCAAAAGCCATGATCTGACCTCAGCAATCAGGCTCATCGTCATGAACATGTTTTCCCTTCTGAAATGACTTAATATTTGAAAAGATGTGCAAGTCAGATAGTGCAACATCTGGAGAGTATGAAGGATGAGGAATTATTCCATACCCACCGGACCGCGCTTCTGTCTGGTCGACTTTTGCGTTACGAGCAGGAACATTACCATACAGTATCGGGACAACTCTGGTTAGCATACCATACCTCTCTTCCTTGATAGCCATCCTTAGTTGTCGTAATAGTGAAGCATACTATGCTCCGGTATACTGACACTTGGAAAATAATCCACCACTATTACTTCATCTTAGTCCCAGAAGACGGTGAGCGTGAATTCGTTGGCTGGGATTTTGATGCATGCCGTTTTTGGAGGTGGCGAATAAACATGTTTCATTTGTTTTGACTGGGTTTTGGCTACTGGATTCTAGTGATGTACCCATATTTCATCGGGCGCAGTTAGTTTGTTGAAAATTTAACCCTTTTTCTGACACATGATCACATGGTTCCAAGAAACTGCGACCCGTTCTTGCTTCTGAAAAAGTGCGGGCAGCGGGGGAAGCGATAGAGATGACACCTTCGCATGTTCAAATAATTATGAACAACATCCAAAATATCCCACACTAATCTTGCTATTTGAACAATGAACAATGAACAATGAATTTATACGGGTTAAGAAGCGTTGCTTTACAAGCCCCGTTGGATAGTTGGTGGGGATATCAACATAATAATTATGATGAAAAGGATAGTAAAATAGTTAACACCTTGAATACGAAAATAAGGACTTATCGTTTGCTTCGCTGCAGTCCTGCGATCCACTTAGATTCACAACACCCACAGTTAACAACAAATAATTCCAGGGTAAACTCCAGGTGTAGGATGGAGACATAGTGTTAAGTAACAAAGTGTAAGTGGATGAGTGCATCGTCCAACCGTCTTTTAAATATTGTTAGTGTCGGTGCAGAGACGACCGATTCTGGAAGAGCATTCCACGGGTGACAGACACGGATGGAAAAGAAATTTCTGCGGCACTCCAGACGACTGTATTGTTCTGCGAGTTTTAATGAGTGGCCCCTCAGGTTTGTATTGCTGCTGAGTTGCAGTAAAGGGCGGCACACATGATGTGGGTCTCGCAGAATCAAGTATGTCATAATCAGGTCACCTCGTAGCCTGCGATAGCTTCCACTGAACAATCCTAGTCGTCGCAGCCTCTCCTGGTAGGACAGATTGCGCATTCCAGTTACGTTCTTAGATGCCCGGCGTTGAGGCTGCTCCAGTGCGTTAAGGTCGTGTTTCAGCCATGGATGCCAGGCTTGAATTGCGTATTCGACGTGGGGGCGAACATACGCACTGAGCATTTGTCGAAATATGGAGCTGTTTATTTGTCCAAATGCCCGCCTCAACAGCCCAACGTGTTGATTCCCGGTCTTCGAGGCCTTTTCCGATTGCCTGGAGCAACCCAAGTCATCTTGAACCAGGACACCCAAGTCACGTTCGAGAGTTGATTGTTGCAGTACATCCGTTCCGAGTCGGTATGAGTAGCTGCCCTGATGTCGGATGGAAAGCACCTTGCATTTACTGACGTTGAAATGCAATAAGTTTTGGATCGACCATTGATACACTGTATCTAAGTCACTTTGGAGCACATGTTGGTCGGCGTTCGCCTGGATCCTGCGCCAGATCTTGATATCGTCGGCAAACATGAGGAAGTTTGAAGCGATTCCCTGTGCAAGGTCATTAATAAACACCAGAAACAAACGTGGACCTAGAACCGAGCCTTGCGGCACACCACACTCGACTTGTATGGGGTCCGATAAAGAGCTCCGAACTCTGACCACTAATTGCCTTTGAAATAGAAAGTTGGCGATCCAGCTTAAAAGAGGGTCTCCGATCCCGTAATGCTGTAGCTTGGATAGTAGTATCCGATGGTCTAGACGATCGAAAGCCTTGGAAAAATCCAGGTAGATCACATCAACACCTTCTCCAGCGTCGGCTGCCTCGGTCCAACTACTGCGTGCAATGAGTAAATTAGTTGTACATGACCGCTGTCGACGGAAACCGTGCTGTTCAGGAGTGATGAGGTTGCAGTTTTCCAGATAGCACACCAGTGCATCGGCAACTATAGATTCCATGACCTTGGATAGTATAGGAAGAAGGGTTACTGGGCGGTAGTTGGAGGGATCAGATCTGCTTCCACCTTTGTGAATCGGGCTTATTATTCCAAGCTTCCACATGGCGGGAACTTGGTTCTGGTCTAAGCAGTGCTGGAAAAACTGAGCTAAATGTCCTGCCAGTTGGTTTGCTGCTACTCCCAATGCCTCAGGACGAATGGCGTCGACACCCGGCGAGCTGTGTTTGCGTAGAGAGGTCAGCTTTTGCAATACAGCCTCTGCGGTAAAACTGACGTGGGTTAGTCCTGGTGAGCAGAAGACAAAGCTTGGTAGATCGCTTGGTGGCAAGACCGTTTGAAACGTGGGGGCGTATTGCATCTGCAGCGCGTTTGCAGCTTCCATAGACGTGCTTGTTGGGCCATCAGCCGTCTTGAGTGGAGGAAATCCTTGCCTCACCTTTCGTAGGCTATTAACGTGCTTGTACAGCAGTTTGTGGTTAGCACTGAAGGTTTTTGCGATGTTCTGCTGATAGGCGGCTTTGTCTTCTCTTAACAGTTGAGTGCAGTGGTTACGTTGGGCTACGTAGTTGTCCCACGTTTCTGGTGCTGGAGCTTCTCTGTACACTCGCCATGCTGCGTTGCGTACTGTCATCCATTTTCGGGTTCTGCTCCTAACGAAAGAAACGGATTTGCACTTATTGTAAGCTTTTATCTCTGAAGCCTGTGCAATCAGCTGACTGAATGTGTTGACGAACTCGAGCCAGGCGACTTCCGGGGGTTCTTCTTCGAGGAAAGACCATGTTGTGGCGCTGACTAGCTGGGAGAGTCGGTCGTACCTTGTGATGGTTCGCACAGTCTCATCTTTATCATTCCGATATTCTGCATAGCAGACGAAGTTGAAACTGATCACTGCGTGATCACTGCGACCCAACGGGCAGTCTAAAACCAACGCATCAATCATATGCTCCTCGTTGGTAAGCACAAGATCCAACACAGATGGCCTGTTACCAGTTCTGAACCGAGTGGGCAAAGTGATGTGGTTGTAAAGAGGAGCAGTAGTTACTAGATCTTGTAAATCGGTTTTGAATTGTTCGCCGGTTGTGGCAGGGGCTTCTAAACAATGTACGTTGAAATCACCCATGATAAGAATGTGAGTGTACTTCGGTTGCAAACTGCACCTTA